GAATTATCAATAGCCAGTTACATGACCTTGGACTCTCTACAGCCTGACCCACCTTTACTCTCTTCTCACTCTGACTGTGGCTTACCACAACATTTTAAAAAGTTGAGGAGTGCTAAAAGAATTTTTTTTCCTAGCATCTGTCCTGGCCTTCTGGAGGAAAATAGTGATTTTTTTCTCTCAAGGACAGACAGAAATCTTGTACTCAGTCAGATCCCACAAAAATTACAGTCTGTGCTCCAGACTCCCATTATCAATCCAAATACACAGAAGATTATTCCTCTATTATTTCTCTCACTTGCACCCCTATGACCATTTTCACCTGTGCAGACTGCAAACAGTGCAAAACTCTCCAATAACTCAACAGAAAAGAGTTCAGAGAGGAACAACAGCACTCAGAGACCTGTGAAATATAACCTATGAGGAGACAGCAAAGGAATTTTTGTTTTCTTAAATATAGAGAAGACTGAACAGAGACATGATAACAGTCCTCAAAAATGTAAACGACTGCAGCAAAGAGGAAGGAAATAATCTCTCCTCTCCCACGTGGAGAGGATAAGAATAACAGCCTAAAATTGCATCAGGGACTTTTTTTTTTATTAAATATTAGCAAAACCATTTGTAACTGTTGGGATGGCGTTACTGGGATCGGTTGCCTTGGAAATTGACCCCTCTGGAGCACTTTCAAAGCAGGCTGGATCTACCTCTGTGCTAACGGGACAGGTACCACTGACCTGCTGTGCTCTTGGAGCAGGAGAAGGAATTGGTGATTCCTCAAAATCCCTTCTAGCCTTGCTTTCATATAACCTAATGATTCATTGGATAAGTACATGTTCATTTATCACCCTCTAGGGAGAATTTTAGAAGTACTACTTGCACATGTGTGTTCTTTGTCTCTAGAGCTTTCCTTAAGATTATTACTCTTCCAAACACTGGGCTCTCTGTGGTTCTCTCCCATAAGAAGTGAAGCTAGTCCTGACAACCAGGAGCTATAGCCCTACCAATAACTGGAAGGACTAATATTCCTAAAGAAATTACAAAAAATGTGCCTTTGCCTGCCTAGTCCCTTGCCTTCATTTTGCAGTAGCATGTACTACAGCATTGCTGAGTTTTGCTCTTCCAAGTCAACCACCCGTGAAACACAGAAAATAGGACCTGGGACAAGAATGGTTAGCAGGGTCAGCCCCTGGCTGTCACAGGCAGCCGTATCAGGCAATCTTTTTGGCAAACTCAGTAAACTCCATCTCCAGTCTGGTTGGGTTTCTTGTCCTTGCTACTCTCACTGGCTGTCTTCTTCACCACATCAGCACTTAGGCAGCCAAGAACCTTTCTCTAGTTTGTAACCTAGCATTTTCTCTTGGCCAGTTTATTAATTACTTCCAGTGCTAATGCTGCACTTCCATCTCTTTAGACTTTTCCAGTTTAGTGGATTTACAGTTGGCATCAGTATCGCTCTTGGTTTTCATTTTGTAAGAATAAACATGTCAAGCTGTATTCATATCCTCTCAGGGAGTCAGGTGAATGCATCCATAATTGATCAGTAGTGCACTTGTCTCCTGATATAGAAAGGAGTTTGCCCAAAATTACAGGGTGCAGAGAGAGTGTCTTAAAACCACAACCAAACCACTTTTGTAACACAAGATCAAGGCCTTGGAAGAGTTAAGAAGTGAAGTCGACCTGCTAGAAGTGAAGTCGTCCTACAGGAATTCTTGTGATCTTGGATTCTTACTTAAGTTCTGCAACAAATCTGAGAGTGGAGGGGAAGAGCAGTTCTTAGATCAGTCTCCACACAGCATGCCCTGCTTTCTGCTGCCAGCTGTCTCTACTGGATAGAGCTGAAACCCAGGAACCTCAGCTCTTCTTCCCATGTCCCCTTTTGAAGGCCAGCCCTACTGGTGGCACCAGCACTGCAGCACTGTGCTTACACATCCAGCAGCAATGCTGCTTGAACCGGCTTGTCCCCACCCTCCTCCACTCCCAGCTGCTTTTTCCATTTCCCGCCGGACGCCCTCCCTCCAGCCAGTGGAAGTGTTTGTGCAGTTATGTGCAGAACCAGGTCAGGGATCTGATCCCAGCCAAAAAAACAGCCTGCAAATTTATATTTATTTTTTTTTTCCAGCTGGAAGAAGTTCTTCTGTCTGGTTTCTTGGGTGGCTGCACAAGCACTTTGGCTGGCATAAGGGAGGGAAGAGGACAGAGGTGGAAATAAGCAACTTTGCCATGCATGCTCCTCCCAAGTGAGTGTGGCTGATCCATGGAGCCTCCCCTCCACTCTCAGCCAGCGTGGGCTGATCTTGCAAGGAAAATCACACACTTGTTTTTCGTCATGCCCCAGATGCTCCCCACCCTCCTTTCAAGGAACACTGCTCTTTCCCCATCCATCTCTAGCAAGCATTAGCAGAAAGGTTCTCCCTAATCAATCAACAGCCATTAGAACAACCAGGTTTTGAAGGTCTCCCACTTTTCTTATGTTATACAAAAGGCTGGAAGAGAGCTTGGGGGCTCTTTAGTCTAAAACTGGTGAGTGCTACCACTCATGTGACACAATCCCTTCTAGAAGCTGGGCTGCATTCTCTATGCCTGAATCTTCGGACCTTTACAATGGTGCATTCTTGCATCATAATTAACAGTTACTAGAAAGATAGTTTGAAAAATGTAGTTCTTTGTAATCACATTTAGAAACAAGTATATCTAAATAAGTTCATTGAGGCACTCCTTTCTTGGGCAGCTGTTATAATCCATCTTAAAATAAACCCACTCCCTTCTCCCATTTTTTGGCTCTTAGCTTTGCTATTAATGACATAGACAAATCACTTCCAAGAGAAATTTTATTATTTGAAGTTTTCTCAGTTTAATGTGTTTGGCTCCTGACACTTCAAGGAAGGCTGGTACAGCTACTAATATGCTTTGCAGAAAGATTCCTTCATGTTGTCCTGAGAGAGGGCAATGAGAACCTGGTTTGATTGAAATACCTACAAGGACACAAGGGTTACCATAGGTTTTGGCTGGTTTCTCTAGTTATTCTGAGGACGCAGTAAAAGATTACTACTCTTTGCAATACCTCTCTGGAGAGTATGTTAAAAAAAGAATAAAGTTCCTAGCATAGCATTTAAATATACTAAGAAGAAAAATAGTTTTTAAAAAGGCACATTGTTCTGTATAATGCAGTCCTGTCTGAAATTTGTGCACTGGTGATATTTATTCATCTGCTAAATAAAATCACAGATACTTCATTCCTGTCTGATCACTAGAAAATATTTTGTAGCTGTTTTCATGCTTATGTCACATATAGAAACTCAAAAAACTTTGACCAGCCTTCATGGGTTGTTTGCTGGAAGCCTGTTCACAAAGGACTTGCACAACATGAAGTCCTTTTAACTCCCAGGAGTGCCTCAACAAACACAGTGGGCACCTACCCAGTGTAAATAATCTATTAATAAACAATTTACAAATTGATCAACCATAACATCTTTTTATAGACTAAAAAAATGTAAATAGAAACAGGTAATTATCTACATTAACATCTGTGCAATAGTATACTCACAGAGAGCTTTTAGTTAACATACAGGTTCCCATCAGGAGGGCAAGTCAACAAGAGCAGCAGATGGCTGCATTTTGGGTTAAATGCTCCTTAAAAAAAAAAAAAAAAAAAAAAAAGGTAAAAGCCAACAGGTGCAAAAGAGCAGCAATGAATAGCCTCTTTCCGCTCACCTCCACTTCCCTGTAGAATTCAAACACTCACTTCAGTGATAGCAAGACACAGAGATCTTAATTTTCATTCAAAAGTAGGAACCTTGATGGTGGCTTTTGTTTGTAGAATCAGCCTCATGGTTCCTGATTGGCATTCAGCCTTAGGCCAAATCCTAAGGATGAAATGAGCTGTATCCTAGCCCTGTTTTCCTGCATACTGCTAGCCCAGTCCCTAAACATATCTCACTGCTTCATCTATAACTTAAAAAAAAAAGCTGTTTAAGAGGAATGCAGAGAGGCTAAATTCATTAGTGCTTTGAAATGAACTTGTAGAACTAAGCACTGATATTTTCACTGCAAAATGAGGCATTTTGCTGGGAAGCATCAATGCAACAGGATTGTCTACTGACAGACTTGTCAGCACTTTTAGGCAGGCTGGAGTATTAGAACATGCATTTGGCTGAACTGTTTAAACAGAATACATTACTTACCATAAATTTTCTATGCTACTGTAACTACAGAAATTCTCCTTCAAAAGCCAAACATGGCCACCTGATCTGCAGGTAGTACGGAATAGCAGTTTCTCTAAAATCTAGAGAATTGTTTCTGATTTTTCTGCCTGAGGAACCCACCTAATAATAATAGCAACATATTTTTCTACGCTGTGACTTGATTCTGGCTGCACACGTTTCCATTCCAGCGTCATTCATAGTTGTTTTCAACTTCAGCAAAAAGCAAGATTCAATTTCAGCTGAGACCAGACATATCAAATTCAACTAAAAAAAAAAGTGTTGGGGAGGGGAAAGGAAGGGCATTTTGGCTGGGGAGAAAAACGAGGAAAAGGGACTGTAAAAAGAGCGAAGTGCAAACTTTCTCTGAGATGTAACGGTGTCTTTGCTGCGGCAGCAGCAAAAAGCAGGCACAACTTTGTGGACCTCATCTCTTCATCCCTTAGTTTTCCATCCGTACGCTCCGCTGTGCGCTGGCAGGAGACGGAGAGATTGGGATCGCCGCTGTGGCCGCAGAGCCCATGCCAGGAACCTCTTGGTACACTGGCTGCATCACCACATCCCTGCCCAAGTGAGCTCATGGGGCTCAGCTGGGCTCGCCGAGGTAGCACAGACGTGTAATGAACACAACTGTCATGGAAAGTCTAAGAGGGGCGCTTGTTCCGCGGGCCGCCCGGACAATGAAGAATTGGCGTGCCACCCCCGCTCTCGCCCCCCAGCCGATGCCAAGGCGGGCGGCTGCCGGCAGATGAATAGCAGGTCTGTTCCAGCAGCTGCGCGTCCTGGTCCAGTGGGGAGAGAGTCTCCGGGAGCACGGAGTGCTGCGCTCCCTGCTCCGTCTGCAGAGGGAGAGACCTGGGGGCAAAAGGATGGCCTCGGAAGGGGAGAACATTCAAGTGAGTCCATCTTGGGGAAATACCCCTGGGAGGGAGAAGTGGGAGGGAAGATCCCCAGTCTGGGGGAAATATCCACCGCTCCTGTCATTTGCTCCTCAGCTTTGACAGCCAATTTCCCTTGAAAACTCAGTTCTGCTTTTTTCCGCTGTTCCCCTTTGAAGAAAAACTAGTGGCAGGATCTCTGTTGTGTTCTGCCAAGAGCAGTTACAAGTGTTTTTCAAAAAGAAATGAAGGTAAGAAGGGGGATATTACTAAAAAGAGATGTTTTTTGGGGAAGGAGGGGCAGCAGGGAAAGAAATTAGCCTTCAGCTCTCAGGAGGAGGCAGCACATACTCTACAAGCTGCAAAAATCTGATCTGCTCCGCATCTCACAAAGCCTTTCTCTGTTTGGCAGAAAGTGCTCTCAATCTGGAGAGGAGGAAAAGAAATAAATACAGCAACTACTGAGGGAGTGCAGAGGCCAGGATTTCCTATGTAGGGTTTATAGAGAAACACAACTTCTTGGTGAATCTGTTTCAGTTCTCTGTCTTCCTATTCTGAGTGTTTGTGTTTTTTAAGAAGGGTGTTTCTTGTGCTCAGCATGTGTTCTCATAAAGGGCAACTACCCAAGGGTTTGGAAAAAACAAACTGTTAGAGATGAAATGGAATAAAAAGCCCAGATCACAAACACCCATCAAACCTCAGAAGTTCAAGTCCAGATCTGCACTTCAGACAACTGTGGAGAAGGGAAGAATACAAAGCATTGCCTAGGGCACAGCTTCCAGCCCTGAATAGACTGGCATCAGGGTCCAAATTTTGCAGCCAATTTTTCTGTCTGGAATGGTCTCAGCTATCCTTAGACTTGACAGTGGGCAATTCTGTCTGGGGTCACGATTTTTATTTCTTCGGCCCGTGTTAAAGCAGTTAAAATGGAAAGATTTGTGTCCTTGGAAATAATCAGGACGATTATCCTTAACTAGAAAGAAGGACTGAGACTCTCCAAAGCTGCAGAACGTATCTCCACTGAATGTGAGGTGCAGAGCAGTTTTTGAAGACCTGGGAAAACTGTGCTCAATAAGAGACACAATAAGTGAGGAAGATGCCCAAGTAGCTGTGACAGTTGGTAAACATGTACTCTATTTAGGACTGAGAAAGAGAGAGTTTAGTCTTTCCTAGGACTAAATAATAAGGGGGAAAATATAGAAATCAGCAAGCCAGGAACTGGGGGCAAAGGGCAAAGAGGTCAAGAAAATTATTCTAAAGAAAAAGTCAAATTAATTCCTTGTATGTTAAATCATACACCCAATGGAAAGTTTCAGGTCTATTGTGGATTTGAAATCCAGGTTCCATAGATGAAAAAATCAGCTTCACTGATTAAAGTTCTCGTAAACTTCTGAAAAATCCAGAGTTTAGGTTTTTATCTTTCAACCTATCTTGAGGTTAAGCAAAGAGCCAAAAGTGATCCTCAGCATCTTCAGTCTTTACAATATGCAAATAAGTAAGTCCAGAAAGTCAAAGGTTCCTTGGGTTGCAAAACTGAAAGGAGCATACCTGTCTGTTTCTAGAACAGGAAGGTGTGAAGTATTTCCATCCACCTCTACTCAGGTTGCCACAAGAATAACCACTCTACAAAGATTTCCTTTGTGACACCTTACAGGGAAGCGACCAGACAGCACAAAATGTAGGTGAATGCACACAGATCCTCACATGCTTATAACACACAGTGCTAGCAGGGGAGGGAAAGAGTCTTACATACTGTGTCACATAGGATGGATACAGCCCCTTAACCAAACTAGCAGCAGTTTGGTTCAGGTTCTGAAGGATGTGAAGGAATAAGCTGTAAGTGGATGAAGGACTCATCTGGTTTCAATCTACTTTCTGAAAACCCACAAAGAAGCAGAGTTGACCCGGTGAGCATCGATGCATATGGTCTTGGAACACCAATCATGCGATTAACACATGAATAGCAGGTGGCTTTTCCAAGACTCATTTATCAAGGAACAAAGAAAGTTGTGGGTACAAGGAGTCTCATGCATACCTTTACTATCACATGTAATTTGACTACAAGCCAGCCACTTTATTCCATAAATAAGACAGCCTGAGTGAGCCTTCTTTGAGTTGCTGGCTAAGCAGCCTGACTGCATGGCAGTGACCTCCCCTTGCACTCTCAAGTTGGCTCCTCAAAGCAGAGAAACCTTTCACCAGCAGCATATCTTTGGTAAGTGATTGATATTGCACATAATCTTGTAGTACGGTAAGTGTGATTTGTGCTTTGGTAACCTTGATTTTTTTCTTGGTAACTCTGACTTGTGCCTTGGTAGTTTTGAATCATTGTTCAGATGATTGTGCTGCACAGTAGCAGAGTGAACCTCGCCATCGAACTTTGCTAAGTCACACTTTTACAACATCATATTAAAACCACTTTCACAAATATCTCTGATGGTGACTCGTTAAGGGGTCTAAATCACCCATTCATGACAAACTGGCATAGTTGGCAGGGTCTGAATGAGGATTCACGACACAGAGCTGAGACAAGCAGAGGGTCCTGGCAATGACGTGACTTGACCAGTGAGAGGTGAGGGGAGGAGTGATCAGCGGCAGAGAAAAAAAAAAGTTTTTCAGTTGAAAGTACATTTAAAAGCCTCTTTTGAGTCCCTGCTCTGAGCAGTGAATGCAGAGCAGGTGTCTTCTCGGAAGTTTCCAGCTGTGGGCTTATGAAGAGCTTGTGGGAATGTGCACTGCATGCTGTGGGGTGGTAATGTATGACTCACTCCTCCTCAAAGAGCTCCTGGATGGAGTAGCAGAAACAGTCATGAAAGTTAACTATGACCCAATACAGAAGTAGGAATTTTTGTTTATAGGGAAAGGGTCTTGCACCCGAAGCAGCTGCAGAGCACCTACAAGCATTTCTCATACAACATTTACGTGGCCCAGCTAGACAGGTAACTATAGAATTAAAACAATGTAAACCCCTGGCCTCATGCAGGAGAGAGCTAGAAAAGGCAATCAAGATTTAAGAGGGCTCTTAAGAGGACTGATCAGTCTCCAACAATTTTTGCTTATTCTGAAGCATGAGAACAGGAGCTCACTCAGCAAAATTGAAAGCCTCTGTAACAGGAGACACTCCCTTATCCAGCGTGACATCAGCCTGTGGAATTTGCCATCTCCTGGAGCAGGTTAGAAGGTCAAATATCGGAGCAAGCATTGAGAAGAGGTCAGGAGGTCCAGTAACAATATTTACAGTTATTCAAGCTAAAAAAGGTACCTTCAAATCCCATAAGCCAATAGCAGGATAAAAATAAATATGCTTTTCAGTTCCCTAAAGGCAATGGCACAATTGCTGACCAGACTACAAGTGGTATTTGCATTAGAGAGGTTATACACCAGCTCTCCATAAATGAGACCCAGGACTGCTTCTTAGCAGCAAGAGGTATCTCCCACTAATCCACTTTCTCCCTTACAAAAATTCTCTTGTTCTGTGTGTTTCAAAGAGGTCTTTTTTCCCATTCTGACTTCTAGGAAGACCAGTAAAACCTCAAAGTGTGCACAGAGAGATGCTAAAAGGAAATTGTGCTGAAATGGAAGAAAAGCCACAGGGCTGTAGAGCAGCCTCACCAGATCTGTGCCAGCCAGTCAAGTGCTAAGAAAATATGTAAACTGGAATGAAACTATTTTAATTAAAAATAGTAATTTACCTATTAAAAGATGAAACTTCGATATTAATTAATTTGAATGATGCATTTTTCTCACCAGACATCTCTATCTGTGGCTTCTAAGTGAAACTTTCACCTTCCTCTATTAAACACCTGCCACTGATGAAAAGCCAGACAGAGACCAGCAGACGAGATACTACAGAGTACATCCTGAGATAGCTGGGATCAGAAAAATACTTTTGGGATAGAAACAAATAAAACAACCCAACAAGATCCCATCACCACTTTCCTTTTACTTTGGGAAACAAAGGTTTATAAATTAAAAGTATAGCATTGATAGAAACACTCTGGCTGATTTATCTGCACTTCTTTATGCTACTGTTCCCACTGACTCTTGCCTCCAGCCCATCCATAGAGATTTGCAGCGGGGGAGAGAGAAGGAGGGAGCCATAGAGGACGGTTCTTTTCAGCAGCAAAAGACCTGTTAAATCTGTTTAGCTGTGTACCTCAGCTGCCACAGTTCACGATCTGGCATCTTAACACAACCCTGTTTCATTGGTGATTTAAGCCAACGTGCCAGACCTTGAATGGGAGCGACTGAGACAACATCCGCTCCACCACTCCCACCACAGCAGCAGTAACCAGGGGAAAGTCTGTGGACAGCTGAACTCAGTAACACTCACACATATTGCCACAGCTAAGTCTGTCAGAGCCCCAGATGAATATTGCAGAACAGAGCAAAGATTGAGGCTGATACTAAGTGGTTCTACAGTTTTATCAGGTTTATATTTTTATGTTTTCTTATTCATGAATGGGTGTTATGTTCTGTATAAACGGCTGTAAGGGATGTGCGCCGGATGAAATGTCATCCGTATTCGTATTGCAAAAGAGGCTGTATATTGTATGTTGTGTCTTTCTTTTTATAGTTTCTTACTCTTTGGATAAAAAAAAATTTACAATCCTCTGGGATAAGAAGCAGAAGTAATACCTCACCATTTAGGGAATCATTCATACTTCAAAAGTAAAAAGAGTAAACAGCTAAAATAATCATTCTGGAAAACGGACCCTACGCTGAAATTTTTTGGCAGAAGCTGCTTGGTGAATACCTTGAATGGAAAATACATCTGTGGAAATAAAGACAGGTTTGCAAGCAACTTGCAAGGAAAAAAGATTTTAAATAATTGCATAGTTTACTTCCAGTGCTCAGTTTTTGACCTAATCTACAGCAGGCAGATTTTAGACAGGCAGATAAATAGAGTTAGCTTCAGGTGTTACAGTGCGGACTTTTCCAAAATGCCCATAAAACAGTTGGAAAGTTCCCCTTACCACTGTAAATTCCATCTCCCACATCCCACTTTCAGTGTAGAC